CACCATTACTTAAGGGAGTATGATTACAGCACAAGCAGGGAGGCTGAGGCGGAGGGGGGGGAGGGGGAAGCCGACCCCCCGCTGAGTAGGGCGTGGGACTTGGAGCTGGAGCCCCGCGCCTGGAGATCTGGACCTGAGCCTGAGGCCGACGCGACGCTCAACCGTCTGAGCCATGAGCCACCCAGGTGTCCCAAGGGGCCATATTTTAATGCTAAGTCCTGGCACCGTAAACTCAGAATGAAAGCCATTCTTTGCAAGAAAGGTTATTGCAAGCCTCTGTCAGTGATTATGTACGATTACTGTATTTTTCATTTTACAATTTGCCAGATTAAATCTTTATAATGAACTAGTGTTTGGAAACTATTACTTTAGAATGGATGTTGTTTGGCCTTAAAAAGTCCTTAGGTTGGTTTGGTTGGCTCTATATTTTGACGGTTAATGCATAATGCTGCTATAAACATCTGTGTGCAGATTTTGTATGGACATTTGTTTTTGACCAATACCAAGGAGCACAATTGCTAGATTGTGTGGAAAAGAGTTGTTTAGTTTTGCAAGAAATGCCGACCTATCTTCCAAAGTTCGCTGTACCATTTTGCATTTCCACCAGTAATGCATGAGAGTTCCTGTTGCTTCACATCCTCACCAGCATTTGGTATTGTCAGTCTTCTGGATTTTGGCCATCTTAATAGGTGTGTGGCAATACCTTGTTGTTTTAACTTGCATTTCCCTGATGACGTGATGTGAACCATCTGTTCATGTTCTTGTTTAGAACCTGTGCATCTTTTTTGGTAAGGTGTCTGTTGTTGTTGTTGTTGTTTTAAGATTTGTATTGATTTACTTGTGAAAGACACAGGCAGAAACACAGGCAGAGGGAGAACCCGGTTCCCCACATGAAGCCTGATGCAGGACCCCAGGATCATGACCTGATCCAAAGGCAGACACTCAACCACAGAGCCACCCAGGCGTCCACGGTGAGGTGTCTTAAAGTCTTTGGGCTATTTTTAAATTGAATTGTTTTCTTATTGTTGAGTTTTAAGAGTTCTTTGCATATGAAGTACACGATGGATAACAATTCTTTATCAGACATGCGTGTCTTTTGCAAATATTTTTCTCAGCTTGTGGCTTGCCTTCTCAAGCTCTGAACAGTGTTTTTCACACAGCAGAATTTTTAAAATTCTATCAAAGTCCAGCTTACTGTTTTTTTTTTCATGAATTACATCTTTGTGTTGTATCTAAAAAGTTATCACCATACGAAGATCATTTAGGTTTTCCCTTGTTATCTTTTACGAGTTTTATAAGTTTTGCATTGAGATCCATTTTGATTTAATTTTTGTGAAGGGTGGAAGATTTGTGTCTAGGTTTTTTTTGTTTTGTTTTTTGTTATTTTGCATGTGGATGTCCAGTTATACTGTCTTGGCACTATTTGTCAAAAAGACTCTCTTTGTTCCACCGTATTGCCTTTGCTCCTTTATCAATAACAGTTACTATATTTATGTGGATTTGTTTCTGGGCTCTCTATTCTGTTTCGTTAATTTGTCTATTATTTCACCAATACCACACTATCTTAATTACTATAGTTTTATCATAATTCTTTACGTTGTGTGGTATCAGTCCTTTTAACTTTTTTATTCTCCTTCAATGTCATGTTGACTATTCTGGGTCTTTTGCCTCATATAAACTTAAGAGTGAGTTTGTCGGTATCTACAAAATAACTTGATATTGTAATGGAAATTGCGTTGAACTATAAATAGGAAAGAACTGGCACTTTGGCAATATTGAATCTTTCTGTCTGTGAACATGGGATAGAAATCCTTTTTGAAAGTTCTTTCCATAGTCCCCAGATCAATTACGAAGAATTCCTCAGGTTTTCTCAATTATTTTATTCATGTTGCTACTTAGTTTAGAACTTAATCATTTGTTTAGACCGCTGTAAAAACTTTCCTGGCCTTCCTGAGATCCAGTCTTCCCTCTCCCATCATCCCTCCCATATAGATTTTTGACCCTGTTAGTTAATACTTAATTCATGCCTAGAGTTAGAAAGGCCTTTCTAACTGTGACACAAAACCTAGAGCCATTAAAGAGAGATTGGTTGCATGGCAAAACAAATACAGATAAGATAAAATCACATGAGATACATGGCAGAGACATGACAAAAGGAAAATATTTGCCATGTCCCATTGTAACAAATGACTAATTTTCTCATAATGTATAGAATTACACGTTAACAAGACCAAACATTCCAATAGAAACATGAGCAAAAGATATGAATAGTTAACAGAAAATAAAATATAAATGACTCATAAAAATACTCTCATTCACTCAAAATCCAAGTTAGATTTGGTGAAGGAGTAAGGAGAAAGGCACTCCCATACTGCTCATTCTTGGAGTGTAAATTGTAAATTCATCCAGGCCCAAAGAAGGAGTAATTAGGCAATATCAAAATTATAAAGTCATGGGGCATCTGGGTGGCTCCGTCAGCTGGGCATCTGATTTCTGCTAAAGTCATGATCTCAGGGTCCTATGTTTGAGCCCCATGTCAGGTTTTCTGCTAAGTGGAGAGTCCGCTTCAGCATCTCCTCTCCGCCCCTCCCCATGCTCATGTACACATGCTCTGTATCAAATCTAATACTGTGTGTGTGTGTGTGTGTGTGTGTGTGTATAATATTTATGTGTGTGTATATATATAATCATATAAATTTGATCCAGCAATTCTTTGAGGAACTTTTCATGTATATGCCTGCACACATGCTAATTGATGTATGCTCAAGGTTTTTCATGATAATATTGTTTTTAATAAGAAAAGGAGATTTACCTGCCCATCTATGATGGAGTAGGTAAATAAATTATACTACAGTAAAAAGGGGTTATGTGTGACAGGAAAAATCTCTAAGATACTTTTTTTTTTTTTTATGATTTGATTTTTAAATAATCTCTACACTCAGTTTGGGGCTCAAATTCACAACTGTGACAATCAAGAGTCACATGCTGCACTGACTGACCCAGCCAGACAACCCTAAGATAGAGTGTTGAGGAAAAAAAGACGCAATATGCGATTCATGGTGTTCTACCATTTATGGGGGGGGAGGGCGGGGGGGGGAGATACAAAGCAATACATATTATACTTAATTGTGTAAACATAAATAGTTGGAAAGATAGTAAGAAACTAATGGGGAGAGGGAAACTTTACACAGTATGCATTTTATAATTTTTCTTTTTTCTTTAAAGATTTTATTTATTAGAGAGCAGGAGTTGGGGGAGGACCAGAGGGAGAGGGAGAAGCAGACTCAAGTTTGACATGGGGCTCCATCCCCAGGCCCTGAGATCATGACCTGAGTTGAAGGCAGATGCTTAACTGACTGAGCCACCCTGCATTCCAATTTTTTTTTTCGCATCCCAATTATAAATTTCGAACTAATATTACCTATTTGAAAACATAACAAGGACAAATATAAAATAAAATCTCTTTACTGGTTGCTTATCACAAACAGTACCTGACCACCCTCTTCCACTGCCTCTTGAGAGCCTTTAGAATTTGACTTCTGTTTATCTCTTGACTCTACTCCTATGGCCTTACCTCCAGAGTTTACTTCCTTTCTCTGGTTTACAGAGCTTTTTTCTTTCTTTTCTTTCTTTCTTTTCTTTCTTCTCTCTCTTTCTTTTTTTTCCTTCCTTTTTTTTTTTTTAAAGCACATTTCTAATAGAGCTGTGTGTGCTGTCATTCCCATACTTTTGAAAATATAGTTCTTTCGTCCTGGAATGGCTTGCCCAACAATTTTTTTTTTTTTCTGGGGATTTTTCCTAAAAAAATAAGCAGAGATGCAACCAAAAATTCATTAGCAAAGATAGTCATTGTGGCCTAATTTATATAATAGGAGGAAATTTTAAATAATTTAAATATCTAATAACAGGGGACTACCTAAATAATGAATGGGCTCATATGCTCTTAAAATAGTGATGAAGACTATATAATATTACAGTTAAAAGACAACATGTCAAGGTACAGAGCTGTACTGTTGGTTCCAATCTATCTTGTGATCCAAAATGATCAGAACATAGTACAGAACAATAGTAATGATTATTCTCTGGTTTTGTATGTTTTTCCTGATTTTATTAATTTTATGTTTTGTAATTAGAAAAATAAATATTATTCCTAAAAAAGATTTTAGAGAACCACAAGCCTAAGTTTTGTATATTAAAAGTCAAATTTATCTTTTTTTTTTTTTTTTTTTTTTATTCATGAGAGAGAGAAAGAGACAGAGACACAGGCAGAGGGAGAGAAGCAGGCTCCCATGCAGGGAGCCCGACATGGGACTCGATCTCAGAACTCCGGGATCACGCCCTGTGCTGAAGGCAGCGCTAAACCACTGAGCCACCCGGGCTGCCCTAAATTTATCTAAATATTTTGATTAATATAAAGAACAATTTTCAGAGAATTCAAAGTATGTATATTCAAGCTAACTTAGTTCAACCTTTCTTTGTCAATTGAGAGGGTGTTAGGGTTTTGTCTCGTGTATCAGGATTAAGACCTTGTTGACCATACAGAACATAGAAAAGAGTTATAGAAAGATAATAATTAACCTTTGAGTGCATATACCAAGCACTGTTCAAAGCTTGTATATAGATATCCAGTTCTTTCACAAGGCAGTAAGATAGGACTTATTATTACCCCTAACTGAGACTCAAAAGTGAAGTAACTTGTTCAGGGTTGCACAGGAGAAGCCTGGATGCCCGTTGTTAGAGTGGTAGTTAAAAGATTTATTATAATTATGTGGAAGAGACACTGTGAATAAAGACTAACGGGATTTCATGTCTTTGGTTACAGCAGTGATCTGGGTAACATGAGTGTCTGTGTCCTTAGAGCTTTGGGCAGGGGCTTCTGTCAGAGTAGGCACTAGAACCTTGCATTTAGGGAGGTTCTCTTCATCACTGGAAACTGACTGGGGTCTGGAAATCTTGGTTATTTATTGCTTTGGGTTAACTTTATGAATGATTTCTTGAAGTCTTCTAGATAATGTTCTCCAAGCTTTAAGGAAGAAGTCAAGCAAGGATTGAGAGGGCCTGGAGAGAAGTCTTTCTTAAATGACAGCAATGACAAGAGAAAATTGGGCCCACAGTGCTCTGAGACAAGAGGGTCTTGTTAAAGGGAAGGATGATACCTGGAAATGGGGAACCAGCTTCCAAGGAAGCAGCTCCTCTGTTTGGGAGACCTCCCACCTGCACTTTAGACAGTTACGTTATCATGAGACATCTGGACCCCAGGAAGCACTGAGCCGGCTCCGGGAGCTCTGTCGTCGTTGGCTGAGGCCAGAAGCACGTACCAAGGCCCAGATCCTGGAGCTGCTGGTCCTGGAGCAGTTCCTGAGCATCCTTCCTGGGGAGATTCGGACCTGGGTGCAGATCCATCGCCCTGGGAGCTGTGAGGAGGCCGTGGCCTTGGTAGAGGAGCTACAGAAAGACCTTGATGGACCAGCATTAAAAGTGAGAAAGGGGGAGGGGAGAGATTTGGGATGGAAGGAAGGAGAGAATTAAGGCAGGGTGAGCTGGGCTGGAGGCTGATCCTATAATTTTCATAAATAATTAGTAGCACATTAGCAACCCTAATGCTTATTACAGCAGGTTCACGAGCCATTTCAGATCATAGAATATCTGCAGAGAAATGGATTTATGATTGGTGTCTTGTTCCTAATTGAGAATTAGCAAAAAGGCATTGACTGCACTTTGTTCATCTGGTGATGCTTGCTAATGCTGAGTTTGGTTCAATAACCTGAAGAACATAATGTTTCTAAGTGTTCCCCTAAACAGGAGCATATGTATTATTTGTATAAGTCTGTTAGGAATGATGAGGTAAGCCTTGATTATAAAAGGCAGTGAGAAAACAGGACTAAAGCTCTCTAAATCTGGCAGGACCTCCCCATGTGTGCCCCTATTAGGGATTCTGTGGGCCAAGGGATTGGGTTGAGATACTTACTTTTAGAAAGATTTTATATCCTTGACCATTAAATTGGGATCTTAATATATTTCTCAGTGTGTGTATGAGATCTCTTTCTGTCAGTTTGTAGTCCACTAGAAACGTTACATGTAAGAAGTCTGAAACAAACTTAGGAGAGGCACCAAGGATGAGCTTGTTTATTTTAATCATAAAAATGAATTTTATTTATTTATAAGAGATTTTATTTATTCATGAGATACTCAGAAAGAGAGGCAGAGACACAGGCAGAGGGAGAAGCAGGCTTCCTGCAGGAAGCCTGATGTGTAACTCAATCCCAGGACCCCAGGATCACGACCTGAGCTGACAGCAGATGCTCAGCTGCTGAGCCCCCCAGGCATCCTCAAAATGAAGAATTTTAGAGCTATATAGTTCCTCACAAAGCACTAATCCATCCTTATTTGAGAGATAGATAAATGGAGGCTGGATTGCCTTATGTCCGACATTTAGCTAGTAGCAAACATGTGTCTAGACTCTGGTATTCCTTCTGTTGAAGCAGGAAGGGTTAATAAAGGGGTAGATAAGTAGAAGAGTATATTGAACCCAAGTCTGATCTAAAACCAGGTCTGGGGCTAAAATCCATACTCTTAATTATTACTGTAATTTCCCTTTCCCTCCTTAGCCCACACCCAGGTCTGGCTTCTGTTTCCATCATTTTGTTCAGTTTCAGTGGGAAAGTGGGCTACAGGGCCAGCTCCATTGTTGTCAAGGCAAAGCTTTATTGCTGTTTTGATGTTCCATACTTGAGGTGGGTCTCTTATCTCACAGTTCTTGATTGTGGGCAGAAAGAGGTCCATAGTTATCAGGTGAGTCTATTTTCTGTAAGTACAAGAAGAGTCAGCTTATTTATTTTGTTTTGCTTATTCCCAGGTTCCAGTTCTTGTTCAGGACCGGGACATTCTTCAGGAGGGGATGAGCACTTCAGGAACTGCAGTTCTTCATGTATCCACTGGCAGCCACATAACAACTGAAATTTGCCAAAATCCTTTTACTGACTCACTCGTGTTCAGTCTCCAGGATGCTCAACATGGTACTTAGCGATCCTGGCTTTGGACTTTGTCAGGATCTTTATTATGGCTCATCCTCCTACTCACAGTTAGTTTCTTCCTCTCCTCCTGTCTTGTATATGAAACCCTTATGGTACCAAATTCTTTCTGTTGTTCCCCTGTCTGTCCTTTCCTGGATTCCTGTGACCTTTTATCCATTGTTACTGCTCATCTTCTATTATTCCAGTACTGTACCTGGGGGTCACTCAGAAAAAGGTTTGTAAGTCATTTTATGGCCACCATTGTCTAGTTCTGGAAGTTCTGGGTCTTTCTGAATTCCCTGTTTGTAGAAGAAACAACACTTGGAGTAGTGGTCAGGGACAGCAGTAATCACATGCAGCTTTTTCTCCTTCCTCAGATTCTTCTGCCCCTGAAGCTTCTGCCCTTTCCCAGGAGGAGAACCCAAGAAATCAGTTAATGGCCCTCATGCTCCTAACAGCCCAGCCCCAGGTAAGATTTGCATTCTCTTTCATTCCTAAGGCCCTCCCTGTACTACCAGACTGTGGCTTAGGTGTCCTCTGTCATCCTAGTGTTTGGGGCCCAGTTAGTTCCTGTCTCTATCACAGTCCATGCAATTGGAGGTAGACTTTATGTGGGGTTTCCTTATGTCTCCTTGATAGCCCTTGCTCACTTCATGGCCTCATAATGTGTCCTTTTGCCAGGAGTGTGAAAGGAACTTTTTGCTAGGGGAGCTCCTGGACATAGATAATCTCACACATACCTAATATTTCAGGAGTTGGTGATGTTTGAGGAGGTGTCCGTATGCTTCACTTCAGAGGAATGGGAGTGTCTGGGCCCGATTCAGAGGGCCTTGTACTGGGATGTGATGTTGGAGAATTATGGAAATGTGACCTCCCTAGGTAAGGACTCTTTCTTCCCATCAATTCTTACCTTTAATTCATCAGCCTTTGTTTTCTGACTATGAAATTAGTATATACTTGTTTTGGAAAACATAGAATATTAGAAGAAAATATAACTTAAACCCACACAAGTTTTTCCTGTATGAGTTTCTTTTTGTTGGCTACATAATTGTGCCGTAATTCAGCCATTTCCTTATTCTAGATAATTTCTGTAATAATCATCTTTCTCTGTACCTAAAGTCTTTATTTCTCATTTTTATTAGAAGCAGAGTTACTAGGCCTAAGTGTTTGAATTGTTTTAAGAAGGTTCTTCTGTCATACTGCCAAATTGCTTTCCTTGGTGATCTCTGTCCTCATGGAGAGGTACATAAGAATACTCCTTTTCTTCTGTCTTTATTGGTACTGTGTAGTCCCATTGTTTTAAATTGCTGCTGCTATGATTTTTTTTAAGTTGTAATATCTTTATTTTCTGGTAGATTTTTATAACTAGTAATAAAGTAAGAACATTTAAAAATATTTAGTAGTCATTTGTGCTTGCAACAAACATGAAAACATCTCTCATGTGGTGACAGCTGTGGAAATTATATGAGTCTGCCCCTAAGTAGCTTATCATGGTTTGGTTGATGAGCATAGAAAGAATAAATAAGGCAGAGTAACATAATTAGTATAAGAACGTGATAAACCTTTTGAGATGGAAATGAAGAGGACAAAGCAACCAGTAGCATTCCTGACGTTAGGAAAGGCCATTAAAGGAGGTATCTTTGTGTTATTAGACTTTGAAGAAAAAGGTGAGATTTTGTTTGGACAAATACACATTAAAAATTAAGGAATCAACTAATGCACTGATCTGATTTGAACTGAAATACAGATTCATAACATCAGTTTATGTAGCTATATAGTATTCCATTGTCTATCATGCTTTACGTTGACAGCTTTATGATACTGAATTTCTATTCAAGAACATTACATGCCAAAATAAATAAATAAATAAATAAATAAATAAATAAATAAATAAATAAATAAATAAATAAATAGATAGATAAATAGATAAATAAGTAAATAAAATAAAAAAGAACATTACATGCCTTTCCATTTGTTCTGTGCTATTTTTATATTTCAGGCCTATTTTTAAATTGTCTTCATCTGGATTTTGCATATTTCAGGTTATGTTGAATCTTTGGAATTGGAATATTTTCTTTCTTTTTTTTTTTTAAAGATTTTATTTATTCATGAGAGACACAGGGTAGGGGGTGGGCAGAGATATGGGCAGAGGGAGAAGCAGGCTTCCTGCCGGGAGCCCGATGTGGGACTCAATCCCCAGAACTCCAGGATCATGCTCTGAGCCGAAGGCAGATGTTTAACTGCTGAGCCACCCAGGTGTCCCATGAATTGGAGTATTTTCTGAAGTTTTCTAATTGACTAGGGTGCACATATATGAAAATATTATTTTTTTGGTATGTTGCAACCTTATTATTTTATCGCCTACAGTAATTTATATTGTATATTTTTATACTTAATGAGAATATATCTCTTACTATCTCAGATGTGCTGATAATGGGCCAAACATTCTGCAGATTTTATATTTTAACACGTTACCAAACTGCTTTCTCCCAGTGATGTACCAACTAACTTACTTTCCCATAAAGAGAGCAAAAGGGAGCCCATTTCCCTTATATATGCTTATGATTTGGTTAGTGTTTTAAATCTCTACTAGGTAGATGGCAAATACTATTATTTGTTTTTCATTTCATTGATTATTAGTGTGGTCAGAATCTTTTCACGTTTATTGGTCATTTCACTCTTACTCATATCCTTTCTGCATATTAATTTTATTTGAGAGCTCTCAAGCCTTTGTCAAGTATTGCATATGTTTTTCCCATTTGTTTGCATTTCATTATTTATGAATTGTTATTTTTAAGCCTTAGGAAATTTTTTATGTAGTATTTTACTTTATGGTCTTTTGTGGTCTTCTTTTCAGTAAAATTATTTTTAATTATTCATTTATTGTTAAGATTTTATTTAGCAGGAAAGTGTCCAAGTGGCGGGGGGAGGGGTAGAGAGAGAGAATCTCTTTTTATTTTTTATTGTTTTTAAAGATTTTGTTTGTTTATTCACGAGAGACACAGCGAGAGAGGCAGAGACACAGGCAGAGGGAGAAGCAGGCTCCATGCAGGGAGCCTGATGCGGGACTCGATCCCAGGACCCCAGGATCACGCTCTACGCCGAAGGCAGGTGCTTGACCACTGAGTCACCCAGGCGTCCCAAGAGAGAGGATCTCAAGCAGACTCCACAGTGAGCACAGAGCCTGTTACGGGGCTTGATCCCATGACCCTGAGATCATTACCAAGCCAAAATCTAGAGTCAGATGCTTAACCGACTGAGCCACTGAGGCACCCTAGTAAAATAATAATTATTATTATTTTAAAGATTTTATTTATTTACTCATGAGAGAGAGAGAGAGAGAGAGAAAAGCAGAGACATAGGCAGAGGGAGAAGCAGGCTCCATGCAGGGAGCCTGACGTGGGACTTGATCCCAGGTCTCCAGGATCATGCACTCGGCTGAAGGCAGCACTAAACCGCTGAGCCACCCAGGCTGCCCAAGATTATTATTATTTTTAATCCCTTGTATTTTTTTCAGATATTTTCATTGTTTCATTTTTACATTTAAGCTTTAGTCCATCTAAAATTTATTTTCATATATAGAATGACATACAAATCCAGTTTGTTTATTTTTTAACCCAAGTGGCTTTTAGTAGTTGTAATGCTATTTACTCAGTAATTCATCTTTTCTAAGAATTTAGAAGTAGGTTTGATGAATAAATTAGTGAATTTTATGATAAACCCTCATCATGTGTCATATAACTCATGCTGTAGGCCAGAATAAAGTCTAGATGGGTCTAAGAGTTGAACCAAAAAAAAAAAAAAAAAAAAGGAAAAGAAGAAAATGGAATTGCTTATTTAGTCTAGCTGTTTAAGGAAAGACAAGTTTGAATCAACTTTAATAAATAAGATATGCTTCAACTGCAGTATTGTTGGGACTTTAGTAAGTTGGTACCTAGGTGCTTATGCCCTTTGACCTAGTGGTTTTCATTTGAGGAGGACACCTTAAGTAAATGTTTCAGAAAGAGGGAAGTAAATAATATGTCTAGGGATAGTACCAGAAAAATATTTATAATGGTTAAAAGTTGGGGCCGACTAAATTCCCCAAGATAAAGTACTAAGCAAACTATGGTGTTTGACCTGGAGTATACTGTCATATACTATGACACTATCAAATATGACAATTCTCTATTCTCAATTTCCATGCATTGATAAACTATTTGGAGAAAAGCAGAATTCTCAGCTGGCTTGCACACATTGTTTCAGTGTGTAAAAGATTTATATATGTTTATTTAAGAGATTGGAATAGAATTTGAAGGAAATTCAAGAAATATTGAGTACTTCCCATAAGTTAATCTTAGTTCCTACCTTCAAACATTCAAGTTGGAGTGGTAGACATTTATACTAATCGTTACAATACAGTGTGACAAATGCTATATATAATACATGGTACACAACTGTGGGAACCCATAGGAGCTTGGGATGGTAGGATTGGGAGATTGGGGGCAGTGGTGGGTGACTAAGGGAAAGATTTACAGAGGGCTGACTTTCTATTTTAATAACAGTTTTATTGAGATTTAATTCATGTACTTTATAAATCACCCATTTAAAGGTTACAGTGTAGTGGTTTGTTAGTGTATACACAGAGCTCTGTGACTATCGCCATGATTAATTTTAGAATAGTTCATCTCCCCCAAAAAGAAGCCTTGTACTGTATAGCAATCACATTCATTTCACCCAGCTACACCTCCAACCCAGCCCTAGGCAACCACTAATCTGCTATCTCTCTAGATCTGTATATTCTATGGACATTTTACATAAATGAAATCATACAGTATGTGGTCTTTTGTGACTGCTTTTACTTAGCACAATGTTGTCAAGGTTCATCCATGTTGTAGCATGTATTAATATTTTATTCCTTTTAATGCCGAATACTTTCTTGTGTGTATATATCACATTCTATTGATTCATCAATTGATGGACATTTAAAAATGTTGTTTCCACCTTTGAGCTATAGAAATAACACTGCTGTGAATAATTGTACAGAAGTTTTTCTGTGGTTTTATGGTTTCATTTCTCTGGGATATATACCAAGGAGTGGAGTAGCTGGGTCTTCTGTGAAAAGGTTCACGACAGTTGTGCTTTGGTTTCTAAAAGGAAATAAAACTTTATTATTATTATTATTATTATTGAAACAGAAAAGGAAAGGAGAGCAATAATAAGCAGTAAATGAAAACAAGATAGAATTACATCCCATTGGGTACTTAAAACATACAACCTCATTAGCTTGGGAAGCCCCATGGAGACAGCTTGGCTTCCATATTGAGAGGCTTGGGCAGAGCATCCTCCCTTCAGGTCAGACTTCCAACTGACCATCCCCATAAGGGCCATAGTTAAAGGACAAATGATGGGATTTGATGTTATTGTTTTTTTAAATGACTTTATTTATTTATTCTTGAGAGACCCACATTGAGAGAGAGAGGCAGAAACATAAGCAGAAGGAGAAGCAGGCTCCTTGCAGGGAGTCCGATGTAGGACTTCATCCCGGACTCCAGGATCACACTCTGAGCCGAAGACAGGTGCTCAACTGCTGAATCACCAAGGCATCCCATGAAATTTTATGTTAAACATTTTTTTGCTTATGTGCAGTTTGGAGTAAGCTGCATTTCTATGTTATCATCTTTTTATATTTTCAAGGAGCCTGGGCTGTGTGTCTGTGTCCCCTCCCAGGTTACATTCCTGGGGGCCAGCCTCCCTAGAGCAGGAGGGAATATGAAATAAGATTTATAACTTTTGGAATCCAGAAGGGCCAGTTCTGACCTAGACGCCAGATAATATATATTAAGTAACAAGTCTCGCAAGGTTATTCACACAGCATGAATCTCACAACACTCATTAGC